ATAAAGCCTCACGGCGAAGGATAGCTCTATGTGATGTTGCTGTTGATATTGGCTATCAAACTTTTCTTTTACATAAGAAACCAAATCAAGGATTATTACGCGAAACTTAGCTCGACCCTGCGTCACCCCTCTTAATCAATTGACAAACTGTTTACAATTCGTTAACTAATATTTTTTTTTTTGTTTCAGATTAAGTTCACATCGGTGTTCACTTCCGCGAAGATGAAGGCGATGTTCGAAACCGTACTGAATTGCACCGAGGGACTGAAGAGCGCCCTGGAGGAAAGTGCGGAGCAAATGAGCGACGTTGACATCTTGGAAGTGTCGGCGCGCTACACCACGGATAGCATTGGTAAGGAAAATACCTGAAAAAAAAAACTCGAGGTAGACGTAACCTCAATCTTTGAAATGCAACAGTGTTTTTATATATTTTTCCTATATAGGAAGGTAAAATCTATAAGGAGTTAGAATTTAATGTAAATTACCCCATAGGTACGTATGTTTACTAGTCTGTATTTTTTTTTAGGATCCTGCGCTTTTGGCATCGAATGCAACAGCTTCAAACACCCCGACCCCGAATTTCGCCGGATGGGTCGCAAGGTGCTCGATGAATTCAATCTCATGGATAGACTGAACCTCTTCATGTCCATCTACGCCCCGAAAATATCTCAAAAGATCGGCGTCAAGATCGTACAAAGGGAAGTATCCAAATTTTTCCTGAGAACCGTCAGCGATACTGTCAGCCACAGAGAAAAGAACAACGTTAGAAGAAACGATCTGCTGCAGATACTGATAGACATAAAGAATTCGGAGGAGAAGTTAAGCATGAACGAATTGGTAGCGCAGGTGTTTTTGTTTTTTATTGCGGGATTCGAGACTTCTTCGATGACGACGAGCATGACCTTATTTGAGCTCAGCAATAATCAGAAGTTACAGGAGAAACTCCGCCGAGAGATACTTGAAGTGTTGAAGAAGCACGACAACAAAATCACCTACGACGCCGTAACTGAAATGAAGTATCTCGGACAAGCCATTGACGGTAAGAGGATTTTTTTTATTGTGTTTATTAAAGATTGTTTTTCATGACACGGTTTGACATGAAATAAATTAGATAGAAAAAAAAGTTACGTAAAGAATTACTTGTAGGGTAGTTAGTTCTACCTTTTGCAACAGAAGATCAAGAAATTATGTAACAAGTGCCGTACCTCCCGTAAATTCAGGGGGTGATAGTACAACAAAAAATAATAATTTTTTGTCTTATGAACTATATGTCTATCTTCTCTTGTTTTCGAGATACAGAGAGACAAAATAAAAATTTTTAAATAGAATTTTTACGAAAATTTTCAAACGGTGCGAAATATTTTTATGAAATTTGGTATTCCGGGCTTTTCAAGGACGCCAAATACGCTGGTCTAATTATTTTTTGGATATTTCATAGAGGGCGCTAGTTACGCTATATTCCTATTACATTTTAGGTTCTAATTTTTTTAAAGTTAGGTTTTTTACCATTCAGGCTCCAATTTCTAAAAATAATGTACTCTTGTTAGAACTTTCTGATGTGGACGATTTTCGAGAAAAAAGGCTTTTAATTGAACTCTTACAATATTACGGTGTATAAAATAAGTGACTTTTATCAAAGTTTAGGCTAATGTCAAAACATTGATGGATGTCTCATAAACAACGTATACATTCTCAGTAATATTTTAAACTCTAATTAACTTTATATCAAAATTTTAGTGAATGTTAGTGACTGTGGTTAGTGACTGTGGTTAGTAATGACTAATTACAATCATCAACAAGTTTTGAGTTTTTATTTTGTCACTCTGTATCTCGAAAACAAGAGGAGATAGACATACAGGGTCGGAAAGACCCCATGGTTCATCGGCCGTTACGTGAGAGCGATAAAGTAATTCATAGAAATCCATGCGATAGAGAAGGATGGCTATAATGAAGGCGTTTCATAGTCACCGCCCGTTTCGCTCTTTGTAATTCAGCGACCGGTGGTCATCTTTGTTTTCGTCGTTTTCCTTTTCTGTAATAGATGTCACTACTTATACAATTCCGACTTCGTATTCCGATATGTTAATACA